ATGTGTATGTGTATGTGTATGTGTAAGTATGTACATATATATAAACAGGATAGTTTTCAGGGATTTAAAGGAAACACTTCCCTCAAATACTTCTGTGGTTTTCTAAACACACAAAGCCTTCAAATTTGTTCTATTAAACTCTGTGCAAAAGTTTTCATCCATGCATAGATTTTGCTTCAAAGGAACCAGATTTTTTCTTAAACTAAATATTTTTTGAGGCTTTGTTTGCTTAAACTGGAGGTTTTCAAAGTGGGGTCCCAGGACCTCCAGGGGTCAGCGAATCGTGTCTTGGGGGGTCCTCCAAAAAATGTCATTAAATTGTTAATTTTGTTTTTATTTTTAAAAATACATGGGCAAAAAAACAACAACATAACAAACTATATAAAATATATATTCCCATGGCGTTTAGGGGTTGAAATGACCTGGAATTTTYCCCCATGTAAGGGGTCTCCAGACCCACTAAAGGTTTGAGTCTCCCCCTGCAACAGGGTCCATAAAAGATGAAGTTTGTCTGTTTAAAAAGAGAACATTTGGAACCTGGACCTCAGTCCGCCCCTGCCTGCAGGAGTCCTGATGGTTCCACCCCTCAGCCGCTGGGGACAGACAGAACCAGGAGAGGGAGGACTCCACATCCAGGACCAAGGGACACACGGCTCAGAACTCGGTCACCTCCGGACCGAACGGAACTCTGCAGAGGCTTCAGTCTTTTCTGTCCTGCACGGAACCAGCTGTAGTTTCTCCTCCCGGACCCGGATCGAGCGGACAGGTGGACACATGCTGGGGTTCGGACCGGTGGTTCGGCTGCTGTGGCCGCTGCTGGTGAGCTGCTGCAGGCCGTCTTCGGCCCAGGAGCTGCTGGCCAACGGGCTGAACGGATACAGCCTCCACCCGCCCTACTTCAACCTGGCGGAGGGCACGAAGATCACGGCCACCGCCACCTGCGGGGAGGACGAGTCCGGCCGGAGCCTGCAGGACCTTTACTGCAAGCTGGTGGGGGGCCCGGTGTCAGGGGACCCGAGCCAGACCATCCAGGTGGGGAGACGCTCTGAGACCCGGTGCCGCTCTGTTAGCAAAATATCTCAGGATATGTTTTAATGAAACTTTTAGAAAGAAAGCACAGGATGGACAGCAGGTCAGCTTTAATGTGGTAGTAGCTGAGAGTTATCATGAACTCTGACATTTAGGACATCAGCCAGGGGCGCCCCTAAAACACTGGTGCCCCCCCCGGGCCAGCTCCATCCAGGCTGCAGTTTTATGTTCCTCTAGCTGTTTAGGATTTACTAGAACCTCCTAAAGTTCTGAGCAATTAGGACTTAAAATATTAAAATGTTTTTAATTCAAAACAAAAGATAAAATCTAATTTTCCCCCTAATTATTTATAAGTTTATTTATTTAAAACCAAACAACATGAATTCAACATACAATAAAGATACAAATCATGAATTAAATGAAAGGTAGCAGAAGAAGAAAAAAATCTTATGATTTCTGCCCTTTTTTCTCAAATAAATTCAGTCAAAAATAATCTCCAATTTACAAAAACGTACAAGAAAAACAAGAAAAATTTAATTCCTTCTTGAGCAACAATTTGTACATTATACCCATACATATTTCTCCAACAAATTAACCTTTATCATTCTCTTAAATATACACATTGATCTGGCATTTTTAACATCATCTTCTAGATTATTCCATAATTTAATTCCCTGGACTGTAGTACTCTAGCGCAGTGTTTCCCAAAGTTGGGGTCGGGACCCAAAATGGGGTCCCGAAACGTCAAGGTTGGGTCCTGAAAAGTTTTTCTGAATTAATTA